AATAAAGAGCGGGTCCACACGAAAAAGGAATTTCGCATAAGAATGCCGTTTGTTATTTCGCGCAGGAAATTCGGACGTCGCGTGAATTAGCATGAATTTAATTAAAGTGAAGAGAAAAGTCTTGAAGAGAAAATTCGATAAAAGTGCAGAGACATCTTCGATTGTCATCGGCCGAAATAAATCGCACCCGATCCATTACGGAAGTCGATAGACACGTTTTCTATTTTGAAAGTACGATTCTTTTGTCTCGACTGATGACAGCCCGTCTCGAAAGAACGTATCAAAAGTTATAATATATCATTCAGATATCCATGTAGTTTGCCAAAGTTTTTATTCCGAGTAGAAAGTGATGGATTCCAACTGCTTGTTACGTGATGATCGTGTCCTGGCCTTGAAATAATTGGAGCCTTGGGAGCCCGTGAAAGTAACGAGATGAATACGTGATAAACACGATTGACATTTTTTTCAGAAAATACGAAATATTAGTTGAAGAAAGAGAGAGAGGGGAATTTCGTCACGTGAGATAACGTACTTTCTAAAATAATTTCAATCGCAACGATAGAAATACATATCACTTTGAACATTAATTAGAGATTGTTTTAATTTTAAATGTAGATTATTCTTTAATAGCATATAAGAATTACCATCATTTTCTAAATGATAAAATATACAAAATGGCAGGTATTTATTGGTGATTTTTTATTGTACATTTTCCATATGCTTATGATAGATGGAAGTGGTAAATCTGCGGAGCACCGCAGATGTCTGTAAAAAAAAGAACATAAAAAGTCAGATTTGGATCGTATCCAAATGTAACTGATTTCATCGTGTGCGAGAATATGGCATATCAACACCGAAAGTTTGAGCAATCATTTTGTGAGAATTTATATCGTTACCAACGTTAGAATGAAAACGATATTCCGCTCTTGGATAATGCAATAGAAAACACGTTCTCGATCAAATATAAGCTTGTACTTATCGATGTATTATTATTGATCTGCGTCTTTGTATTGAATCAATCACGTCAATCCGGATTTCATCAAAGTAAATTCAGCGTAAAGGTAAAGCGGTCAAGAGTACGTCGGAGAAAACTAATCACGATCTAGTATCCTAAAATAACAATTGTAGAGTGAACCACAGATTTGTTTCAGGCGCCTCAGGCAATGATCTATCTAACTTGTATCTTAAATTGGCCTTGAACTTGTGACAGTGACACATGTCCGCATGACTTAAAGTGCCTTTCACGAATTGACAATATATTATGTAACCTTTAGATGTACGATCGAAATAAAACTCGAAACTAGCACATATATCCGCGTATATTTTTATATATAAAAATTATTTGGCGACTATATACTTTATTTAAAAAATTAAACATTTAGAAGAATAATTTTTTATAATTAATTTTACATCATAAAAAATATATGCGTGAAGAAATGTGTGTTTCGCAGAGTGAATAAAAAAAATAACAAAGCGATCTTTAAATTGAGAAAGGTGAAAGGAGAGTAGCTCTTTAACGGTAATGAAGACGGCGCAATAAAGTACACTGTGATGCGCGTGAATTGATTATAAATGTATTTTATCTAACGAGAATATATTGTTGATTAATGCTCGGAGGAAAGAAGGAAATTTCGCGTTTAGCTACCGCTCGATTTATTACGTCTCTTTAAAGCAGAAGAGTATTCGCGACGTGGGCCAAATTAACAGTACGCGGAATGTTAGCAGAGGAGATTTTAATATACAACGTCGTTGTCCTTATGAAACGTCGGAGAAAGTTGGTAAAATGTTTTCCTCGGGTAGATCGCGGAGGCGGTGGAAACACGAGCGACGGAGCACAACGGAGGTTAAAATTTCATGCAACCTCGCCTAGGTTACACGTGAGGAGCCGTGCTCTCGAAACAAAAGCGACGTGACGTAAGCAATTGCGAGCGCGTGCCGGTTCCGACCTCGCGTTCTCTGCCACGGAGATGCATTGTATCGTGATAATGAAAGTGAATTGTAATAACCGTGCAACAGTCATACAAAGAGTACCTTGAAAGAATAAGGCGCAAAATAGCGAGAATCCAATCTTGCAGTCTGAAAGAAAAGTCTTACGGAAATTTCGAATATTTCTTCTAAAAATTAATATTTTTTAAAGAGAGAGGGAGAGAGAACTCATTAATAATTAAGAATTATCGATTAAATTAGTAATTAAAAATTTTTACTTCCGGCTGAGTGTCTTGTTAAAATGCATTCCGCACAGTGCGAAATTTACATCGCGAAATTCAACGCTTTCCCCAAGAAACGCCTCGCGCCTTACAATACAAACATCATTTAGATGTAAATGTCCATTTATCTACATGTTTGACTTGTTTTTATTGTAACTTTTCCCAAGTCTGCCGACAACATGTTCTTCGAGTAATTTCACGAAATTTGTTCGCACGTAAATTTTATGTAATTAAATTTCGACAAAAGTAGCGTTAATAAAATTGTATCACATTCACTTCGTATTTTAAAGCCGTCGAGTCCCTGCTCTCTCGTAACGTAAAGCTTTGAATTTCATTGGAAAATACGTCGCGCGACAATGAGGTCGAGGAGTCGGAGATGTAAACCGAGGCTTTCGTAACGCGGGATCTCTCGCGGTGCAACGGGACGTATTCATCGTTCGCGCCCTTTTGTCGGGGGCGCGACTAGATCGTCCTCTTTTCTCACCCCTCGTTCCTACCGACTGGTTCAACTGGCAAGTTTCAAGTGTCGTCGGAGAGACTGTTGCTCGCGTTATGCTTTCTCCGTCCTTCTCCGGTCGCCTCGAGCTGGCATTTCGAAACGGAAGAGACAAAGAGCTCAAAGTCGCGGAACAATGAGACCTGATATCGCACGGTTCAACTACGTATACTACTACACTATTATTACTACTACTGTTCTCTCCTCCCTCGCATTTTCACACACGCCGACATCGTCGACGTGTCGACCGTGTGTTATTGTGTGTACGTCAGGGGGATGTTTACCTAACGGCATACAATTATCGTCTGCGAAAAACCTCAAGTCCGCACCATTCGGACCGTCCCTTCTTTTCATCCCCGCTTTATGGAATTAACGTTTTCGCGCTCTCCACGGATGTAATTAACGCATCGAATGCGTTAACCGTCGAGGACGCAGATGTTTACGCGTAAATTCCCTTTCTTATAACCGCGACGGATGGGGCTTCGCGTTTTATCCGCGATACGAAAACGCGCGACGTAATGCAAATCCGCGTATTTTCAGCCGCGTATTTCGTGTCCTTTTATTTTCTTGCCGTTCGCATCGCGCGACAAAACTTTCACGATGCGACGACGTTGGCGAAAACCACCGAAATTCCGACGGCTTATATAAGGTCGCTTTAATTGTCCGGGTGCGTGTGCTCGTTATGCGCGACGGGGACAATTTCCGCGTTCGCGAACACGCGGATACACGAGTCGTGACCGTCTCTTTCGGCGGAGACGATTAATTCTGCCGCGATCGCGCGACCGGCCGGATTTTTGTGCTTTCGTTACGGATGGAAATTTTTGTTTAATTTGATTGGCAATCACACCTGAAAAAATAGCGCCGATAACGGCCGCATCAGCAGCCGCGGCGATAATTGTCGACCGCTGCCGCGGAACTGTTGTCCGGTAAAAACGTTTCCGCTCCCCCGATTCGTCCTGTCGCTTCTCCCATTTCTCGATTAATTTTCGCGTCGTCACATCCCGCCCCTCTCCTTCTCCTCCGTTTACCGGTTACATACCGATAGGAAGTCGCTGCCATATTACCGCGCATTCGCGAAATGGTCATTTACGAGGCATCTCCTGCTCCTGGATTTTAATGATCTGGCGCAGGTGAATGGGATTCTTTTCTACGCGGAAAGTCTAATCGTCGCATTTGGAGCAGACTCTCTTGCCTCTCTCTTAAACCGCGCGCTCGTATTTTTCCCCGTTGGATGCAGTAGAATTTAACGTTCGAGCGAGTATAAGAATAATTTATCGCCATTTTGTAATTCTAGGAATATGAAAATCATAAGAGATTGTTTAATTTTATTGCTCGCTCAACATATCATGAATCTTCGTTTCTCTCGCGCGAATAATTGTAATTGATCTAATGGAAAGCTAGGGGCAACTTGTGATGCGCGCTTAAAACGTTCCCTTGGAAAATAATTAAGGTAATCAGAAATAGACAATTACGCGGTAATTGTAACGGGCGCTATGCAATTTCTCCTTTTGATACGCGCGCGAACTCTTTACGAGGTAACACGTTTAATGCTCGCAAGAGTTAAGCGCGATAAAACTAAAATTGACGGCGCAAGAGAATCATTATCGGATAGCATAAGAGACAATCTCCAGCGTTATCTTAATATTTCATGAGAAAGGTAACGAAATGGCTGCAAGCTCGGTTGAGTTTTACATCCTTCGAGAGATATCATACATAGAATTTTGTCTCCTTATACGAACTTCATACATATATGTCACTTTTTGATCAAATGTGCCATCGAATAGAAATTTAATAATTATTCATCTCGATAGACAAACCTTTTACCACGATCCCACTTGAACATACAGACAATTAAGATGAACGAGATACATTTTCCAACATTAAATCATTAATAAATTTTACCTCTTAGGCAAACCAAGCGTAACGACCGAGGGATAAATAAAATGAATACTAATGACACATGACAAGAATACCTTTTTCCAACATCACTGCAAGCATTAATGTTTATTAAAGTAGGTTGCGGGAGGGAGACCCTGGATAAGGGCATTCGTCACGTGCCACTTTTCTCCGGGCAAGTCGATCGACGCATCGAATGATTTTCGAGGTTTCGAAGCGTGTCGACGGAGCCCGTCTCGACGCTCTCGCTCGTCCGAGAATCGTCGGTCGGCCGTGATCGTGCAACGGGCGCTATCTCTTTCCCACCGCGGCGAAAGGCGACCGCGACGGGCAAAAGCAAGAGTCAACGTACGTACGTTCGCGTTCAGTTCCGCTCCGAGACGGCGAGGATACTACCGACAGCGTGGCATCGAAAGGAGTCAGTTTCCGCGTAGTCTCCGGCACGTCGGTCACGCCAGGTGCCGTTTATCTACCTGTCCGCTCCGCGTGTCTGTCAGACGGTACGCGCGAGGTACACGAGAAGATTGTCGAGAAGATGCATCCGTCGCAGCGCGATGCTCATCGCGTCCGAATCGCGCTGTTCTCGCTGGGTGAGTACGAGAATCGCGTACTAATCCGGATTAGTTCTGTAGCAAGTTGTGCGCGGGCCGATCGGCAAATTCACGCTTCGACGGACGCGCCGAAGTCTAGCGGCGAAACTTAGCCATCGTCTCGAGAAGAAAGGATACGGTCTGACAAAGTAACTGTGTAATCAGCGTAACATCCGATATTATAATACAGGGCGCATAAAATGTAACGCTCGAACGCGTATCGATCGCACGAACGCTTGGATGCTTAAAAATGTCAGCTCTGTTAGCTATAATAAATAAATTTTAATAATCGTTAATTAAACGAAGAATAAGGATCGATGGATGTTCTTCGAATTAACGTTAATTAACAATGAAAATTGTCGATTGAATCATTATTTTAATATAACCGTGATGAGAGGTATATATCATTTTGGCTATTTGAATATCAAAGCCGAAGCCTATCGATCCGCCGCACCCGGGGTTGTCATTATAGAGATTGTCGAGATGCATTCTCGATGCGAAACGCATGATCGCGTGGCGTAAAGTACATATTCCATAGCGCGATATATGCGCTTTGTGACACGTGCCCATGTCCTGGGAGAATCTCTGAAGAATCGAGAGCGACCAATTAATGCCGCGCTATACGTATAGATGCTCGTTTCTCCGCTAGTCGAAGAACCGCAAACCCCGCAAGTTGGAGTATCTCCTGGCTGACAAGCATCGTCCCCGTCGTCGACGATGCCGATGTCGACAACGGCGGCGACAGCGACTGCGGCATGGAACACCACGGGGAAATCAAGCGTTCTCCGCTTTTATTTGCATAAAATGATAGGACTGACCACGTCACGTTCGAAATGTCGGCCTCGCTGATTTTCCCTGCGAATTTTATTATGTTCCGACACACACACGCACATCTTTCGTCGCTCCGTGGCATTTCGATTTCGCGGAAACAACACGACGACGACGATCATTAAGTCGAATGCAAATGGGAGAGCACACGCGAAGAAATCCTCAACGCGAATCTTTCTCTCCTCGGCGTATCGCACAATCGAGCGGAATCGCAAACTCGAAAGACCGGAAAAGGAACGGTAATTGCGAATTGAGGAAAAGAAAAGTCGAACGTTTGGGAGGACGCCAAGTGTAAGCAAAAAAATTCCCCTTGTAAATCTCGTCTTTATTACAACTCGACGTTAACTAGAGTCGTGTACGAATCTTAAAGACCGTACGCGATAAAGGACGAGCTTGCGCGAATAACGGTAAAAAAATTCGGTGAACAAGAAGAGAGAGACCAAAGACGAATTTGCGATCTCGCGAATACGCAAATTAAATTACGGGTATTAAATTGCCACACATTCTCGCATTCGAAGGATGTCAAGGCGAGTGGGTCGCGTTTAAAATTTTCTTTTTTCGCTCACCGTTTACACAATCGCGCCAATTTCGCACGAACATTCCGCGTTCTATGGAAAGGTGGAGCGCTCCATGCGCGACGTCTCGTAAAATCCCTGAATAGCGTCGCGCCGCGCCGCGAAACGAGATTATAGCGAATTCGCGATAAAACCTCTGGCGGTACAAACTAATTCGCCGCTCGGATATTTTTAATTCGCGCGAGAGATTCGACGGGGAAAAAAAAAAAAAGAGTTAAAAAATAAATTTAAAAAAAAAAGGAAGAAAGAAAAATCGTTTTCGCCAGCGATTGTAACTGTCGAGCGCGCACGGAGAGCCGTATGTGCGCCTGTACAAACATTATCGGGCCGATGGCTCGGAATCCCCGGCCCGCTATCATCCCCGGCCTACGCTATCCCGAGCGAGCCGGCACTTAATCCCGGCAAATATAGTTGGAATTCCGCAGCATTGTTGCGCGCATACGACGAGCAGATTCGAATATTACCGTTGGGCGCGTCATACTAATCGCTCTGTCGCTGAGCTATACTACGATTAATTATCGGCTGAGCGCGTAATCCAGCTCGCTCGCGCGAGCGAGCGAAACTTGGGACGAAATCAATTTTCGTCGGATCTAAATCCCTTTTGCTAAAAGCATTATTCGGCGATCCCCAATTTCCGTTCGACAAACGTCATTGTCATCGAATAAATCCCGCGAAATATTAACCCTACGCGAACGCGAACGAAACGAAACTGGATATCGCAATATTGGCGGGTGTAGCTTTTTCGCGTAAGATTTGAAACTAAATTTTAATTTGATTCTTTTTGTTTAACAAGATTCGAGAGATTGGGCGACTAAAATGTTTTTAAAAGATAATTTCTGTTTTCGGTACGGAAGCGTACTTTAGAGTAACTACAAATTAAGCGAAGGAGGTACGGAGACTCCCAGCTCTGACAGTTAATTTTGGAAGCTCGCCAACGCCAGATATAAATCTGTAAGTGGACGACTAAAATCAAGTGGCTGAAATATTTATGCGAGAGTCTAGACGGGGTATATGTAAACAGCGGAGCTGGAAGATTTTCGGATCACTCGACGATCGCGTCCTTGAATTAATACAAACCGCAAATTACAAGATTCCAATTTACAATTTAAAATCTTACATGTAGGTTAAAATGCGAATAATAAAATCTCTTTCGTTACATCGTTGCTTTTAAAATGGCTGGATATTATGCGTTTCCTCTTGCAAAAATCAAACGCCGACAGAACGGCGGCGGATCGCCGATGAATTTTTCAACGTGCTTAAACCAGAAATCCTACCTCGCTCGTCGAATATCAGAGTCGGTTCGAGGTAGTGGCGTCGATATCGATGCGCTTGGGCGTATCCATTAAATCGCTCGATATTGATAGTAGTTGTAAATACGATACGTGAGCCCAAGATCCTTACGATCGCCCATACAGCAAACGCTGACAAAGGTCTTTGGAAAACTCCACGCGACTCTCTATGCACTTCCTCGCGTTCCTTCCTTTCTACCTTGTATAGAGAAGAATAAAAAGAGAGAGAGAGAGAGAGAGAGGGGGAGAGGGAGAGGGAGAAATGACCACCCCTCGCGTATACACACAAACGTCTCTCCCGATCGTGAAACTCCACGACGGTGTTTCATCGTGTTACGTGCTGGCTCGAGTCGTTCTTCTTCTTACAACGAAATCGATTTCCGCCGACAAGGCGATCGTAAAATTTAACGACGTTAATTCGGGGCCCGAAAACCGTATTGCTACGAGACAATCGTGTTGAAATGCGTCGAGTATTCCGGAAGAGGGTGTAAAATCGAACCTGCGCTAATCCGTCGACAGAGCTTACCTTTAAAGTTGAGCTAAAATGTTTTTCACAGAAAAATCAAACTTTGATGAAAAAATTTCTTACATCTCTAAAGAATAAAGGAATAATTATTTTTAACCGATAATGATCGATCATCGATAAATGCACAGCGCGTCTTTTAACACACTGTAAATAAATATAGAAAATGGCACAACAGGAAGGTAATTCGCGTAATACTTTGTACGCAACGTGTGCTCTCGACTGTTGCTTGCTTATTCTTTCGAATTTAAGAATCGAATCTTATATTCCGAGCTATTTAGACCGTTTCTAGGACTAAACCCGAACAGGCGAAACTTGGGGTTGAAACAATTAGAGCTGCCCGCGATCCTGCCGACTTGTTCTCGGCATTCCGTGTCATCACATTTGGGCGATCGCGGCTTAAAATTCTCACTGAACACAATCATATAAATTGCTCTCGCATTCCCGCGCTTACTCGGAACGAATAGAAGAGATCCGCATGACGAATCGGACGAAAGTTTATTAGCCGCGACGTCGGGGCCGCACGCGCATTGAATTCCGTGTGCGACACAAGTAGTAATTTGTGTTTGCAACGAGTTTCTCTCACGGTAACAAAATATCGAGTGTCTCGCGGCTTTCGCACGTGGGACTTAACAAGTTTACTTGTGCTGGCAGAATCGCGCGAGATACAATAATGACGGAATGGAGAGGGAAAAAACGTGTGTACGCGAAAGAAAAAGAGAGAGAGAGAGAGAGAGAGAAGCGGAAAGAAAAAGCTTTGGATCTAACGACAAAGACGCGTCGCGACATCGCGTGAAATTTGCACGTCGAGACAAGACAAACGCACGCGATATCTTCAGGCCATTGCGATAAAGCACGCCGATCAGGCATCGCGTGTCCGCGACCGGACACGGGAAGCACGAATGCGTCTCCAAGCGTGTACGTGGGAAATCCTCGTTAACGCGGCACGATGATTTTCACGATGCGTTTTTACTTTCGTCCGCACCGATTCGAGCACAATGCCCTACCCCCCCTTCTCCCCCGCCGTAAGATTTATTATAAGCAGTTCATTCCGTCTTCATCAATCTTGCCGGGCGCGCCTCGCTTTGGGAAACGTAACAGTGTACACATATATTCGAACATTATTAATTAAAGAACGAGAATTTCTTTCTCCTTCCTTGAATGTTACAAATAAATCGTCAACAATGCCTTTATATTCCTCGAAACCATATTTGAGCGAAATCCTCCAAGCGAGGTAGCGTGGAAAACCGTCAACTGCGAGGGTTCAATAAAATAACGCATATAAATGTGTCGGAACACAGGAGGCGGAAGTGTAAAACAGCATACGCGGCCAAGATCGGAATTGCACGACTCGCGCTGCAGGGGAAGTTTTTCCATCCTCCATCGACCTCCAGCTCGCGTTTTCGTGCATGGCATAAGGTTTCGCATGGCAATCGCGCGGTATTATTATCCGCATACACAAGTTCGCTTTTTCCCGCGTGCGTTCGCGAGGAATGTGCATGCACGTTCATCTCCCCCGCATCGAAAGAATCGTCTCCTTCGGCCTCTACCTTTTCTGCATAGCAACGCGCGAGCGAGCGAACTCGCGCGTTGTGATTTCCATTCTCTGCATTTTATTTTTGTTTTTTTCCCCCCCTCGGCTCTGTCTTTCTTCTCCCCCCCCCCTCCATCTTTTTCTCTTGCAATTTCACGGGGTTTCCATGCCTCCGTTTGTGTTGGTGATCCGTAACATAAACCGATATACTCGTATATCAGGCTGCTTTCACCGCCGGTTTAAATCAGTAA